AAAGATATAAAATTATGCTTAAAGATCTCACCTCAAGATTACTAACTTCCAATGGGCCTTAAGAGCTTCTCTGGAATACAAGCACATGTCCCTCCCACCAACCTTGATAAATATTTTACATTTTATCTACTCTCTTCAGACCACATACTTATTTGACTTTCCTGATGGTGACATTTTCTCTTTCATTGAGAAAATAGAAGCAATCAGACGAGAGAGTTTTCTACATACTCCCTCCATCCACGTCTATATCCAAACACTCTGCCTTCCTTTCATTATTATACTATGAATTCATTTTCTATTAAAAGTCAGCTGAAAGTCAACTCCTTTACTTGTGTGTGTGCTGAATCCCATTTCCATTCCATCTTGAATTGTCAAGGATATTCATCCAGCAATTTCCCTCTTTCCTTAACCATCAATGTTGATCTCTTCGTTAGATCAATTCCCTAAATATAGAAGCATTTCTCTAATCTTAAAAAGCAAACAAACAAACAAAAACCAGGTTAATTTTGCCATTCTTTCCATTTATTTTTCTTTATAGAAACACTCCTTGCAAAAAGCAATCTAGTGTCATTTTATCCAACTCCTCTTCTTCCATTCTTTCTTGACATCTCAAGGAATTTTGTTTTTACCACTCTACTATAGCATCTCTCTTAAAAGTTAAAAGTGACCACATCATTGCTAAATCTAATTATCATTTTTCACCATACTACATATATTAACAATGCTCAGCATGGATACCCATCCCTTTCACCTTGAAATATTTTCTTAATATAGTTCCAGTACACTATATTGTTATGGTTTTATATCATTGGATGCTCCTTATCTCCTTTACTATTTCTTGTTTATGTCTTCACCTTCTAGGAAGTTACACCCTAGGACACATCACTTCTCTATCTAAACTATTCCTAAAAGACCTCATATAGTTTTATGGTTTTATACACCATATATAGTGTAACAACTCCCACATTTATAGCTCTATTAAGACTTATCCATTCAATGTCTACTTGATATCTTCACTTGAATAACTAATCTCATTGCTGTTGAGTTGATTCTAACTCATAGTGACCCCCATAGGGTTTCCAGGGCTGTAAATCTTTACAGAAGCATATTGTCTTATCTTCCTCCTGCCCAGTGGCTGGTAGGTTCAAACTGCCAGTCTTTTAGTTAGTATCTGAGTGCTTTTATGCTACACCACCAGACTTCCTTGAATCCCTAATAAAATTAAAACGAAACCCATTGCCATTGAGGTGATTCTGACTCATAGCTACCCCCACTGGGTTTCTAAGAAGTAAATCTTTACAGAAATAGATTGCCCCATTTTCCTTCTGCAGAGCAGCTGGTGGGTTTGAACTGCCAACATCCTGGTTAACAGTCAAATGTCTTAGGCATTGGCCCACCAGAGCTCCTTTTTGAATCATCAATAGGCATCTCTTATTGAAATGTTCCAAACTCAGTCTTATCTTAAGCTTCATCATTTTGGTAAATAGAAAATATCTCCCTTGTTTACTTCAGATGAAAGCATGAGAATCATACTTCACTTATCTCTCACATGCTTACCTCATCCATCAAAAAATTATTTTGGCTATCCCTTAAAAATGCACTCAGAACATGGAAGCTTTACCTCACCACCATTCATACCACCCTAGTCATACTTTCTATTGTCTTTGTGTGCATTATTGCAATATTTTCACAATCTCCTCAGTCTATGCCAATGAAATAGTAATACTATTTATTTTAAAACATGCATCATGTCTTGTTACTTCCCTGCTGAAAACCATACATTTGCTTGTCATATCATTCAGAATAAAATTTAGCTTTCTAATACATGCCTAGGAGGTGCTACATGCTCACTTTAATGTGATGTTTAGAAGGGCCAGGAGAATATAGATTAAATGTTCAAACCATAATTATTATTTTATTTTAGTCCATAATTCAACAAACACTACATGAATACCCTCCATGTAACAGCCACTCAAATGAAAATATAAATAAAGTTCAGGTTCTTTTCTCAAGGAACTCATTATGTTTGGAAGTCTAGCATAGAATAATTAGTGCACTCATCATGCATGTACAGATTAAATGGGGGGTATGGAGAAAGAGTGGTGGATTTTAGTAGTTAAATGGTTGTTGAGGGTAGGGACACAAAATGCTTCAGTGAGAAAAAGGTGTGAGCTGTGTCTTTAAGAAGACAGAGCTTGGTGGGCACACATAGAGTGAGGGTAGGCATTTTAGGCATAGAAAATAATATGTATGAATATTGGTACAGAGGCTGGTAAGATCTGGGATGTAAGAATGTCATATACTATTTTATATATAACCTATTTATTGGGAGGCTACTACATAAACAAAGCAAAACCAAAAGCACTGCCATAGAGTTGATTCCAACACATAGGACATACAGGGTGGGGTAGAACTGCCCCATAGGGTTTCCAAGGCTGTAATCTTTGTGGAAGCAGGTTGCCTCACATTTCTCCCATGGGGCAGCTGGTAGGTTTGAATGGATGGCCTTTTTGTTAGCAGCCAAATGCTTTAACCATACCACCACAGTCCTTAATACATATCAAGTAGTCATATTTCCCAGTTTGTCTAAGACAATGACATTTAGATAACAAATTAGAAAACGACTTTAATTCTCTTCCTGGTACTGTTCTTGGTTCCAGGGAGAGCAGTGAGTAAAGGAAGTACCATCCTAGTTTTAATGGAACTTACCTACTAGAAGAAATCAGACAATTAAAAAAAAAAAAGAGTAAGGTACCATCTGTTAGAAATAAAAGCTATGATTAAGATAAAATAGTATATTATCCAAAGTGAGTGGAGAGTAGGGTGACGTTATGTGGGGATGATCTCTAAGGAGTTGTTAGATAGGAACGATTAACAGAGTATCATGATGAAATGTTGCAATAGGCCAAGAGATGTTACACTGGGAATAAATTTCACTTATGGCCATGGAATAGGAAGATGACCAATGTGATTAAAGCATATACCATGGCCATACATAGGTTTGGCAGATGATTCCTACGTAAGTATTTGTACATGCCATGTAAGTGTCCATATGCAGTTTAAACATAACAGGAGGCAAAGTTAGGATAACTTCTTAGCCACAACTAAGCACCCTAAGAGAGTGAGTTGCTAAGCCTGCAGGCTGCAGGGACAATAAGTTCAATTGGTACAACATGGTATGTGAAAATATTGTTATAAACCTTACTTTGGTGAGTAGTAACTGGAGTCTTAAAAGTTTGCAAGCAGCCAAGATGCAACTATTGGTTGTTCCTCTGGAGCAAAGAAAAGTGAAGAAAATCAAAGACATATGGAAACAGTTAGTCTAAAGGACTAATAGACTATAGGAACCTCAGCCTACACCACCCTGAGACCAGAACTAGATGGTACCCAGCTACCAATGTCAATCATTCAGATAGAGATCAAAATTGGAGATTCTGTATAGAACGGGAGTGAGATGTGGAACAAATCTCAGAATCATAAAAGAAAGCAGGCTTATTGGTCTGATAGAGACTGGTTAAACTCCTAAGACTATGGCCCCAAGTCACCCTTCAGGCCTGGAATTGAACTCATTCCCATGGCATAATTCTCAGCTGAACAATGGACAGAACTATAAGCTGAACACCTACACCAGAGAGACACACTCCTTAGAACAATCAACCATGAGAGATCAGAAGGGCAGCATTTGAACCAGAAGAAATATAGGGAGGCAGGAATGTATAGGCGAGAAAGACACAGGGTTAGGTAGGAAGAGGGGGGAGAGTTGTTACACTGTGGGGAAGGCAACCAGTGTCACAAAATAAAATGTGTATGAGCTGTTGAATGTAAAACAAATCTGCTTTGTAAAATCCCACCTAAATTTCAATAAGAAGTTTAAAAAATAATAAAACTACACAATATTCTATTAATGAGTAAATAATGCTTTTTACTCAAATAAATAAATAAATAAATAAACAAGGGAGAAACTGGTAGACAATAAGTTTGGACAATTAAGCAGGGACCAGATCATATTGGGCCAAATAGCCCTTGATAAGAATTAAAAATTTTCTGTGTAATTTAGAGGAGAGGTTTGATTTACCAATTAACACATTTTCTCAGTTTTTGTGAAAGATGCAAAGGAGAGATGGGGGAAAAAGTGAGGAGGATATTGTAGTAGTCTAGCAAGAAAAAGAAATTCAGGATTGGATGAAAATTATCATATAGGAGAGGATTTATTTTTTTAATTGTGATTTGGGTGAAAATTTACAGAGCAAATTCACTTTCCA